TTTTAACCCAAAAAGCAAATTATGCTCCCTTTGAACTGGTTTTCTTTAAAATACAAATCTTGTGTAATCCCAGGCTATCTGTAATCAGAAGCACATTTAAAACTGGAATATAATTTAATTTCATTCACATGTGTTTCATAAACACATAATCCTTTCTGGATTACAATCCGCCATCGAAATGATACATTTAATTATTCCAGCTGCTGTGAGAAAAGGCTATAAACGATCCGCCACCTGCAGGATCCTCACATGCGATAGCCTAGTAGCCGGGACAACTTTATGTTTATAGAAGTGACGTAATGACGCAGCGACATGCTCGAATTTCCCGCGAAAACCTAACCGTACCACTCAAATTAGAAAAAATTATTATAAGATAACTGCTGTGAATCGGGCTAAAGTAAGGCGATAGTTTCGAACACTGGCTGGTTATGTACTTGCTCAAATACTGATTTCGGATCATTTTTAACCAAAAAAAGTTACGGACTGCAGCTTTAAAAATAATGTTTAAATAAATTCATTATTATAAAGAATGTTATTATTGTTGTTATTATAACTTTTAAGTACATTGAACAATGCTAATATATTTGTCATAATTTCAAGTTAAATCAAGTCACATTTGAAAATGGTTTCTCTCAAATGAAACTAGGAAATGTTTATTTAAGTATTCTCTCAGAGCAGCTCTGCTGATGTTCATGTTTATGTAGACGCTGAAAACACCATTAGTGTCATGCGTACTTCAGTGTGAAGTAGATAAAATGGCGCCACTCAGAGACATGCAGAAACAAGCAATTATTTATATAGCAATCCCTTCGCGCTTTAATATTCACAGACACATATCATATCTATTTTTGATTTATCCATCCATCAGATTGCGTGTTTTACGTGACATCCTCGTTATAGTGTAAATTCCATGTTCATGACTGCACCGGGATTCCCTCTGCATCACGGAAATCATACGTCCTTAATTTATAAATTGTTATAAATGCGACACAGCTTTATCTGCACGGAGGGGTGGTGTCCGTGGAGATGTTGGATGTATTACCTGCTTTTGCAGCCACTTTGCGTCCACATTTTTTGCAAATTGGATCCGTCCTCAAGGACAGCCCCGCATTTGTTTTTTTTATATCCAAAGTATTCCCATACTGCAGATTTTAACTTTTTTTTCGGCGGGGATGGAGATAAGATATTATCTCTGTCTCTGTCATTTTCTCCGCTGTAAGCAGCCAAGTAAATGCAGAGTGAAGCTGCCGAGCGGAAATTAGTAGCATGTGCGCGGGTGAGATTTTTTTCATTCGAAAAAGGAAAATTCTGTCATCATTTACTCACCCTCAAGTTGTTTCAAACCTGTATGAGTTTCTTTCTTCTGTTGAACACAAAGTAAGCTATTTTGAAGGATGCTGGTAATCAAACATTTGACAGTAGCCATTGATTTCCATAGTATGGACAAAATCCAAGTCAATGGCGATTAGATATTATCCTGTCTCTGTCATTTTCTCCGCTGCACGTGCGTGTAAGCAGCCGAGTGAATGCAGAGTGAAGCAGCCGAGCGGAAATAAGTTGCATGTGCGCGGATGAGATTTTTTTTTTTCATTCATTTTTTAAAAACCGTAGATATGCAAATGTTTACGGTATGATAACCATGTAAGTTCAAACTGTGATAAACCGTCATACCGGTATATCGTTACAACCCTACACCTCAGTAAAGGGTCATCGAGAGAGTTTCCCATGAGTCCTAGTCTCCCCTTTTGAATCTGATCCATGACAAGTCCAATTCAGCACTGTTTCTTTACTTCATTACGGTTATTTAGTTACCTGCAAGCTGAAAGCTTCTAATGTATGTTACAGCTGGCCGGCTGAAAGGATGCTGGTAATCAAACATTTGACAGTAGCCATTGATTTCCATAGTATGGACAAAATCCAAGTCAATGGCATCAACTGTTTGATTATCCACATTCTTCAAAATATCTTCTTTTGTGTTCAACAGAAGGAAGAAACTCTTACAAGTTTGAAACAACTTGAAAGTGACTAAATGCTGACAGAATTTTCATTTTTTGGATGAAATATCCCTTTAATGCTTGTTCCCACTGTAGTTTTCCACGGTATCTCTCCTCTATGGCCTGCCTGCACTAGATATTTCTCTCCCTCAGTCTGTTTTCACTCCTAAACTTGACACATTCATACACTGAAATTAAGTGTGGGGAGGATGTGTTTTGTTTTTCACATTTCCTGAATCTTGGGGAAAATGTACCCTTTTGTTTAAAACAACTGATTGGAGAGTGCTGCTATCTTTGTATTCCTCACTAACAGCATGTTCCTGAATGGGTTCTGGAGGTGACAACACTCTTTGTGTGTGTGCCGGTTAGTGTATCTCTGTCTGAACACAATGAAGGATGGGTGTAGAGCAAAAGTGCTTGATCTGGTTTCTGGAGATCTTCTTTCCTACAGAGTTTATTCTCAATCCTAATCAGCTGGATCAACAAACCAGATAGTCAAGGTTATGGGGTTCACTTGATTGAAATTACAGCCAGGTGTGTTGGCTAGAACATGGCTAGAAATAATACTGTGTTCAAATCCTCCTGGGAAGTTTCTCCTAGTTCGGAAATCATAATTATGACACTATAAAGTGATTTTGCTCAGAATAAAATAGACTCGCTGGGCAATTTCATATTTCTTTCTGTTTAATTTCACTTACCGACTAAGACAGCAAGCTTTTTAGAGCCAATGAAAGAAAATAAAGAGCAAAAATGCACATTGGCTGTGTAATTGTGTATTTATTGGTGTGTTTTATCATTCCATGCTTTCATGGATAATAATGAGAAATGTACTTTGATCTCTTCGTAAACCAACTAAATGACTAGTGTTTTCTGGCAAGCTTTATATTTATTCTTGTTTAATCTGCCATAATGACCTGACCTCAACTTGAAAAGTCTGGGCTTATGCAACCTTCAGGCTGGAAATATCCTAGTTTTGTGAACACGAATGTCATATTATTAACCAGTGGTTTCCAGAAAAATATTAAGCAACACAAAAAATGTTTCTTGAGCACCAAATCAGCATATTAGAATAATTTCTGAAGGATCATGTGACACTGAAGCCGGGAGTAATGACTGCTGAACATTCAGCTTTGCCATCACAGGAATAAATTACATTTTAAAATGGTAAATATTGTAATATGTCACAATATTACTGTTTTACTGTATTTTTGATTAAATAAATGCAGCCTTGGTGATAAGACTAATATATAGGGCTTCTTTCAAAAACATAAAAAATCTCACTTTTGAATGTGCCCCTCTGCAGTACTTGAGAGTGAATGATGTTGATTTGATTTTGCTTATCCACTGATACAACAGACAAAAAAGAACTTTTGATGTTGTTCCGTCTTCGATATTGTGTTTTCAACTTGATTGTGTGATATATCCTAATAGCAATTGCCCAACTGGGCTGTTAGAGCTTCCCAGGTGGACTTCAATGCAGGATTATCCTGAGTTTCCGACTACTAAATATGACTTTATGTTTGCATTCTGTGTGTTAAACTTTTAAACACATTCGTTGTAACATGAAAGCAGCATAAACTCTGTTGTAAGGTCGATCTCCAGGAGCAGGACTAAACAATGCGTATAAGGTGTAGATGGGTAAGTGTGAAATAATTCATATTGCATTGAGTGTGTCTTTCGAGCTCACAGTGTCGACTTTTTGTCCTGTGTTATGGTTATTAGCGCTGACTCCATCTGCTCCGCTGGCACTGATGCCTCCGCCTTCATCTGGAGGCTCTCAGGCCTCCACCGTCTCCAGGCTACAGATGCAGCTTCACCTGCATGACCTACAACAGAACGCCACCGATCTGCGCAAACAGCTCGCACAGCTTCGTAAGATGCAGGTAAGACGTTACAATCTCATGCATCTCGACACACAGCAGGTAACTGAACAGACATGATGTGATAAAGCGGCATGTGATAAATCACATCTCTTCCATGTTAATCTGAGTCAAGACAGATTGTCAGTTGCTTGGTTTCTATTTTCGACACATCTCGTCGAGACTGCTCCACATAGCTAGATATTAAACTTTACATCAAACTTCAAAGGTGTTCTGATTGACTGTCATTTTATGGCTTAATGTAGCATTTAGCTTTCAGGGAGTCAAGTTAAATCACATTTATTTATATAGTGCTTTGTATAATACAGATTGTGGCGAAAAAGCAGTTTCAGAGAAATATAGTAACAGGAAAAGAACAGTGTTAATGTTGCAGAATTAATTAATTATGAAACAAATTCAATTTCAGCTGTAAGCAGCTCTACAAAACAGTGTCATTATTCTGCTCAGTTCAGTTCAATGTTGAGGCCACAAATGTTTCTTTATGCTCAAAACGTTGTAATTTCGCTCTAAATTAACACTAACTGTGGTTACTGAAACCACGCCTTCTTTCTTTGGGTGAACATTTGGGCGGCATTACGCAAATATTTCCACATAGTGAGGTAGATATGAGGGGGCGTGTTAGAACGAGGCGTTTTAGGGGGGCGTGGCAGAGTCTTAACTTTGATAAAGAATATCTCTTTGGTTTTGAGACTTTAGTCTTTGCAACTTCAGGGATCTTATCTATGCACAATCAGCTTGTAACACTCCAAAGAGAAAGGAAAACTTGAAATCGCATCATATGACCCCTTTAAGCAGCACAGCATTGATAATAATCAGAAATGTTTCTTGAGCAGCAATTCAGCATATTAGAATGATTTCTGAAGGATCATGTGACACTGAAGACTGGCGTAATGACTGCTGAAAATTAAGTTTGCCATCATGGGAATAAATTACATTTAAATATATATTACAATGGGAAAAAATAGTTTTAAATTGTAGAAATATTTCTTAATATTACTATTTGTACTGTATTTTTGATCAAATAAATGCAGCCTTGGTGAGCATAAGAGATGTAATTTTAAAACCTTTTAAAAAATCTTACTGACCCCAAATTCTTTTATCTTGTATCTTCTTTGATAATGTCTCTATTTTTCATATTACATTGATATATATATATATATATACACACAGTGCTGCTTGAAAGTTTGTGAACTCTTTAGAATTTTTTTTTTTCTGCATAAATATGACCCAAAACATCCAAGTCCTGAAACTAGACAAAGAGAACCCAATCAAACTAATGAGACAAAAATATTTTCTTTGTAATTTATTTATTGAGAAAAATGATCCAGTGTTACATATCTGTGCGGTGCAAAAGTATGTGAATCTCTAGGATCAGCAGTTAATTTGAAGGCGAAATTAAGAGTCCCAGGCTAGAAAAGGTTACAAAACCATCTCTAAAGAGTTTGGACTCCACAAATCCACAGTCAGATGTACAAATGGAGGAAATTCAAGACCATTGTTACCCTCCCTAGAAGTGGTCCACCAACAATGATACGCAAAGCAAGACATGTAATAGTCCACAAGGTCGCAAAGGAACCCAGGGTAACTTCTAAGCAACTAAAGGCCTTTCTCACATTGGCTAATGTTCATGAGTCCACCATCAGGAGAACACTGAACACCCATGGTGTGCATGGTAGAGTTGCAAGGAGAAAGCCACTGCTGTCCAAAAAGAACATCGCTGCCCGTCTGCAGTTTGCTAAAGTTCATGTGGACAAGCCAGAGGGCTATTGGAGAAATGTTTTGTGGATGGATGAGACCAAAATAGAACTTTTTGGTTTAAATGAGAAGCATTATGTTTGGAGAAAAGAACACACTGCATTCAAGCATAAGAACCTTATCCCATCTGCGAAACATGGTGGTGGTAGTATCATGGTTTGGGCCTGTTTTGCTGCATCTGGTCCAGGACGGCTTGCCATCATTGATGGAACAACGAATTCTGAATTATACTAGCAAATTCTAAAGGAAAATGTCAGGACATCTGTCCATGAACTGAATCTCAAGAGAAAGTGGGCCATGCAGCAAGACAACAACCCCAAGAACATAAGTCATTTTACCAAAGAATGGTTAAAGAAGAACAATGTTAATGTTTTGGAATGACAGAGTCAAAGTCTGGACCTTAATCCAATTGAAATGTTGTGGAAGGAGCTGAAGCAAGCCGTTCATAGAAGGAAACCCACCAACATCACAGAGTTGAAGTGGTTCTGTACTGAGGAAGGGGCTAGAATTCCTACAAGCCGATCAGCAGTTACAAGAAACATTTACCTGCAGTTATTGCTGCAAAAGGGTGTCAGACCAGATACTGAACGCAAAGATTCACATACTTTTGCACCACACAGATATGTAACACTGGATAATTTTTCTCAATAAATAAATTACAAAGAAAACATTTTTGTCTCATTTGTTTGATGGGGTTTTCTTTGTCTAGTTTCAGGACTTGTGCAAAAATCTGATGTTTTGGGTCATATTTATACAGAAATATAGAAAATTCTAAAGGGTTCACAAACTTTCAAGCAGCACTGTATATATATATATATATATATATATACTGTATATATACTGTACATACACATTGTGTTTATTACAAAAAAACATGAACCATGACTGAAATATTGTTGGAAAGTCATAGAATTCATGAATGAATTTATTAAATAGTATGGGAATGCTGTATTTCTTACACTACTGTGTATAAGTATATCTAAGTGTGTGTGTATTTATGTGTAAGCGAGCATGTGTTCAACTACTCATTAATTTTATGGCTGCTGCTATGTGTGATTCACTCCTATAGCAGGGCAGGCAATAACTCTTAATATACTGATGAGATGTTATGGGCCAGCAGGGATACATAGATGAAGAGAGTGAGGAAGCCGGCCCTAAATCGAGTCAGCTTTTCAGTCAGTAGTGCTTTAATAAAAAATGACTGTGGAATGATAGCTACTGGTGTGATTTATGAGTGAACACCCGCATCTCAACCGTGCACTCTCTGAATAAACACTAGAAAAACAGGAAAGGAAATTCTAGAAAGACAATGAGTTTCTCTCAATGGAAGCAAGGAAATTTGATCTTTTATACTTAGGAGTTCACATGATTAATTTGCTTATTCGATTAGTGACCTAAAGAGTGCAGAATCTTAAATATTCCTTGTTGTTTCCTACACAATGGTTCATGTTAAATGCTAAAAATGCTAAAACCATTTATTTCCTTATGGAATTTTAAACCCCTAATTTTTTTAATGTGATCACAGATTTTTGGACCCTGCTGTATATATGTCTAAAAAATTTAGATTTTTGTTTGCATAATTCTGATTTCGATTCAAGGAAGATGAAAAAGTGTAGCCCTTATCACATACTATAATGTATAATACTATACTGCAGCAGTTAAAGAAGACCCGGAGATCGGCTGAATGGATTCGAAAACGGTAAAACGCAACTGTTTAACTCTAGGGGAGTTGGAAAATGAGCCTATTTTCAAAAATAGCGGAGTGTTCCTTTAAGAGTCTGCATTTGCAAAAGAAAGACAATCCCATACTGCGAAAAATTAACATACAGTATAATAATAAAATATTTTTAAAAAATACTTAAATATGTACAGCATATATAATGTATAATAAGTATATGTACAGTACAGTAAAAAATTCTTAAAACGAGATCAATTTTTTGGAGAAGCAAACTTGAAAGCAATAATGCATGAAGAGTTGTTTGGCAAATTTTTAGAAAGAGATTTTTTTTTATATATATATGTAATTGTACGGGAAGTCAAAAAAGACTGATTAAACTCATTAAGATGTCTTTTTTAAGTTCATGAACGTTTAACACACTGAAATGCAGGGCACTGTATAATTTTGGGGTGGATGTGAGTTGGAAGCCAAAGAGTCAAATGCATGGTCAGAGAGATTGGTGTCAATAGCTTTGCTGTCAAGAGCCAAGCCGCTGGTGTCATGACAACTACAGATTCCTGAGTTAGACAATTACCTGCCTGAATGCCAGAGCTGGAGACACAGCCCCTGCCCTCGTCCTGTTACCTAGGAGACATGGATATGCTGAATAATGCATGAGACTCATAAATAATTCAGCTCGAGGAGGAACTACTGCCAAATGACACTAAAATCGCATCGTACACACAAACGTACAGTGTACAAAAACAGTTTTTACACACTTTTCTCATTATCGGCGCTATGCAAGTGACAAAGTCTACCCATTTTTTCTCTCAGGGCAAACAAACACTGCAGAATGCTAACACGTCACAACATTATGGTGATGTCTGGCACTCCAACTCCCACACAACCTTCAACATACACAGATTGAAAATACTAGAAAATAAACTCAAGGACATGGATGCGCATTCACATTAGGGCATTCAAGAGACCTTAAATGAATGTGATCCATCATAAACACAATCAAGGATAGTATATATATGATCACTTATACACAAACACGCACACTAGCAAGGTCAATTCTATAATATCATACCTTCACATTCAAGATGACAGTTGCATATGGTCAAAGACAGGTCAATGTGAGACATGCACACATATGTGAGTCATCTGATGGATGTGTTGTGATGGATTGTGACAGCTGACCTTCCGTAAAACGCAAAACTCCCAAGCAATGTAGCCACCTATGAAAGCTCCTACACTGATACACCTGAAACGTCTGAAGACTGTAATGCTTAACAACCATTTATTCATAGACTAATACTTAACCTAGAAGGGCTGTGATTGGTTGAAGGGAATATTGTTCTAGGAACACCATAGGAAGTTGATCTAGTAGCATGTCCTGCATTATAAAACTTCTCAAAGCAATGGTTCTTAATTTTTTTGACCGAAAGCCTCTGCTGTCCTACACAATATTTGAAAGCCCCCTTCCCCCCATATAGGCATATATTTCCAGTATTTCTATTGTAATTATGAAAAAGCTGCTTGTTTTTTTTATGAAAGTATTGATGTATTAAATAAATTTATTATGATTCATTTTGTGACTCCAGAATTTTCAAGAACTGTGTTCTCGAAAGCCTTTTTTTTTTTTGTTTCAATTTAGTCGTTTTTTTTGTCTCACTACAAAACCAATTTTCACTGAGAAATTGCTAGAAAATTTCTCAAATAATTACAGTGAAATGGCAAGTGACACATTGAATTAAACATGAATTAAAGTATAAAGGCTAAAATTAAATTCTCTTGTAAAACACTTCAATAATCTTGGTTTTATTGACAACTTCGAGAGAAGAAAAAAAATGATTTTTTTGAGGAATTTTTGTCCCTGCAATAAAAGTCAGTGGGTTCCAGTGTTGTTGTGGACCTTATTGACACTCACTGTATGGTTTGCTTCTTTTGCTTTCCACAAAAGAAATAAAATCATACCAGTAAGTAACTAATGAAAGAATTGTCATTTTTGGATGAACAGTCCCTTTAAGCAAATGCAATGATGGGTCATTCTTAAAATATGTGTGTGTTTGTGTGTAGCTGCAGAACCAGGACTCCATACTCAGTCTGCTGAAGAGGACCGAGACAGAGCTGAGTCTCCGTCTATCAGATGCGCTGAGGAAACAGGAAGACCCTCTCCAGAGACAGCGTCTCCTAGTGGAAGAGGAGAGACTCAAGTACCTGAACGAGGAGGAACTCATCATACAGCAACTGCAGTGCGTCTCGCACACAATATGTGCTCATAATGTGCTGATAATGCAGTCTGAGGTGCTAGCTTAGTGACACTGCTGCATAATGTGCAAAAAATTATTTCCCAGTTATTTTTATTGCATAGGTTCTCATCAGCTCATACCTGAAAGCGAGGTATAAACCGTCTGAGTCAAAGTCCTGCAGACCCGCACCTCACCTTTAGCTTGTACAACAAACGGACAGCATCTCATTGATTTATTTTGTTCCAATTAAAAGCAGCAGGGTGACTAAATCCGCCTCTTTAACCCGCTGCCAGATCAGTCGTGTTGCTTTTAATTGATAGTGGTTATTAAGTATAGCTAACAGCCAGTTGATGTTATTCAATTATTAACGGGACGCTGTTTGTAACAAACCATTTTGTGGTGGGTGGATTTATTTGACGTGGTTAAATTGGATTTCGAGTGTAAACACTCTGACTGTGTCTCAGTCGTTTAGTGCTAATACACCCTGCTGCAATGACACTTATTCAAATGCGTGCCGACGCCACAGCGCAGGGAGGTGGGCTTGGGATTTTCACACGCATCTCGTGCTACATTTTTCAACTTATAAATGTCAGAAACATCAGAATGTAAAAGATGCCCTTCTGTGTAATAACACTGAGGTGCTTTATGATAGCATCAATTATTATGTCATGCAGGTTTATGCTCTTTCTGAAACAATCAATATGTGATAAAACTAATGAGCGGATGTTTGTGTTTGACAGTGATCTGGAAAAGTCAGTGGAGGAAATCCAGAAGGAGATGTCTGTCAATCACCGACATGTGACAGTGCAGGAGCTGGAGGAGAAAATCTCGCTGCTGAGGAAACTGGGAGAGACTCTTACAGAGCTGAAGAGTGAGACAGACTCTTTTCTGTCCTTCACAGTCAGGCACTTGAACCTTAGTTTCAGAAGAGAGTTGTTCACTTCTCTGGCTGTCTGTTTTTCTCTTTGTCTCTCTCGTTCAGATCTTTTCCCAGGGCTCCAGAGTAAAATGCGTGTGGTGTTACGAGTGGAAGTGGAAGCTGTGAAATTCCTGAAAGAGGAGCCACACAGACTGGACGCCCTGCTTAAACGCTGCAAATCTATCACAGACACTCTCTCCACGCTGAGGAGGTAGACAAACACTTACTAACCACTTACTGGGTTATTTAATCATTCCTTGTCTCGACACACATTCTGACTGTGTCTCGAATGTAATTTACTCTTCATCATTTTGAGTGCTATTTTATGGATTAATCAGGCAGGTGAATGAAGGAGTGTGGAAGACCCAGGATGAGTATTCCAGCCCCTCCCCTAAACTCGGAGGAGGGGATGAGTACAGGAAGAACCCAGACTTCGACATTCCAACCAGCCCACCGCTAAGCCTCAATGAGACCAGCCTGGCTAACTGGAGCCCTCACTCTGGTCAAAGACACAGCCACTCGAACCCTTCTAGTGCACAGCGTGAGAAAGATTCTCATGGGGTGGTGGGCTCGTTGAAGGGACGGGAGCTAGGCGAGCTGGGAGGTCGAGGCGGGTCTGATAAGGCCTCATCTGTGGAAGTGAGACTGGTGAGGAACGAGATTTAAAATGAAAGTAGGGCCCTATGATTTACGCGATGCGGAAAACGCGGACGGAATCGCGGAATCCAGTTATTAAAAAAATTCAATTTACTGTATAACGCGGAATGTCAACGCTTGAATTAATTAATCAAAAGTAGGTCATTACACTTAAATCACGATATGGACTAGTATCTGTAAATATTAAGCTGCAAAAAGACTTTAAATATGAACCCTGCATGTTCTGCGTGTCTCTGTGTGAATGAATGGAGCAGAAGCCCGGTTTTGTTTACCGCACGTACTGAAGCGCTCGCTGTGATTTCTGCGTCTGCCGTCTCACTAAATTAGGACACAAATACATGAACAACATCTCCAGAACTGCTCTGAGTCACTTCCTCAGCATTTTACCGTTCCATTTGAGTAAAACTATTGTCATATCATATATACACAGAAGAGTAAAGGTATTCACTGCAACCCGTCATAATAAATTGTATGCATTCAAATAATTAGACATACTTAAACACAGAATTTGGTAACAAAACAGAACGTCAGAAAAAAATTTAACTTATTTCATTCATAGGGCCCTAAAAATGTATTTTTTGTTAAACCTTTAATATATTGATGTTAAGTTGTATAAGTTTCATGATTTTAAATAATTAGACATGCTTTTTGATTAATACAATTTAAATTAATCATTAAAAAGGAGTCCAGAAAAAATGGAATCCAGAAAATCCAAAAAAGTAAATCCACATATTTACTTTTGAAATCTTGTTGTGAATGTGTTTAGAGTTGAACATTCGGACTTGGTGTAAATAGGTTTAACAGCTTCTTTAGCTGTTTTGAAGCACTAATGCTCTTGTATGTCTCCTCAGGCAGCAGAGCGGGATTGGGAAGAAAAGAGGGCCAGTCTGACGCAGTATAGTGCTCAGGACATTAATCGACTGTTGGAGGAGACTCAGGCTGAGCTCATGAAGGCCATTCCTGACTTGGACTTTGCTGCCAAGCAGATCAGACCTGCTCAGAACCAGATTCAAAACCAAAACCAGAGCCCGAGTCCATCTAACACCAATGCCACACCTGAACACAAGCCTAATAAACCTCAGAATAAACTTTCCAGTAAAGATAGCGGATCTAGACGAGGCTCAGATGAACTGACGGTGGCAAGGTATCGAACGGAGAAGCCCGCAAAATGCCCCCCTCCTCCACCTCCCCGCCGGAGTTTCCCCTCCTCCCCTGGGCTTACTACACGCAGCGGAGAGATGATCATTCCTGGAAAGAGTATAAAGGTGACTGGTGACAATCAGAATGACACACACACACACACAGATGATTTTGCATGTGTGCGTTTATGCATGCAAACTTTCTCAAACATTTACATGCAAGCTGTTCCTGAAAGAGAAGCACACAGACCATCAGAGGAGTCAGGGGAACACACTACATCACTTTTATATGAGTGCAGGGTCTCAAAAATGTCAGGCTTCTCATAAAAGCCGCCTGTGTTTGTAGGTGTGTTAGTCATGGTTGATATTTACTTCACCTCAATTGTTCCTATGGTGATAAATCGCCTGTTGGTCACAGGTGAATTTGAGAGAGATTGAGAAAGATTAAGATGGTTCTAGGTGTTAATTTCCCTTGTGTTTATTTTTAATTAAGATTCAGTCGTTACATTACAATGGGATATTTTCTATACTCTTGTAGCCTTTTAGTTATTATTTTCTGGAATTTAATTGTAATGTCTGTCAAAGCAGCCATAATTAATTTTACATGATTCATTCATTCAATCATATACATATATACATTTATATATTTTTTTTATATTGATATACTTATTAATTCATCCATAAATATATTATTTATTTGTTAATTATTTGATCCATAAATAATTATATTTTATATTATTCATTCATTGATCGATTCAGTCATAAATAAATAAATGTTTATATTTTATAAGAAATTTTCCTTAAATAAATACAAACATACATGCATACATACATACATAATTGTATTTATATTTATTTACTGATTGATCCATTCAATATTTTCTTGTTGCAGAGCATATCCGTATGCATTAGCAACAACATTGAGACATTTTTAAGTGCGACTTAAGTGTCCAAAAATTTAGTATGTGTCTAGTACATCAGACTTATTTTAAAAGAGAAGTATGTTTTTGTGTGTGTGTGTTCCCTTTTAAAAAAAAATGCATATTGTATATAGAGATTTGTCTTTTGTCTTTGTGTATGTAAACAGAAGTCAGAATCAGAGGAGACCGAGTCTCAGAAGCCACACGTTAAGCTGAGGAGGAGTGTATCCGAAGCCCCCCGACCGGCCTCCACCCCTCCAACCATTGCTGGTGGAGAGCGAGAGGAGGGTGCAGAGGAGAGGTTAGCAGCTGAGCTGGAGGTGAGCACATGTATTACCTGAAGAGTCCTGTCAGACCGTCTGTACCCTAACGGCTCAAGTGTTAATGTTGGTGATTAATGTCCATATGTCACAAGCACCAGATGTGTCTGGTGTACACCCACAGAGTAGTGCAATTACGTTCACATACACACATTGGTGGCTTCTACCAGTTGGCTGGTTCGCGCATTCATTAAGAACACATTAGCAGGCAGGAGATCTGAATTTCTGTCTGTGCTCTTTGGCTCATGAACTATTAAGCTCAAATGAGTGGTTTGATAATGTCTTGTGCTGTACTGTTGTAAAGTGCTGTTAGTTAGGCACTAGTGAGTATATTGTGGGATACCGTTTGTGTCTAATTTAATTTTACGTAGAATCAACAACCATAACATCTAATATATGCCATCTCACTTACACATATACTTTATCTCTAGATGCATTAGCAACTTCAGAGCAGGGTTATGCACCACTCAAATTGAATTGGGAATGCCTTCTACGTGCTAATTCTATTCCAATTTAAACTGAATTTGAAGGATGCAGAATTGCAATTTAAGAAAGTTGAAAAAAAAATGGAATAAAATGCTAAGAAATTCATATAGAGTACCCGACGTAATAGTGATATTCTGTCATACCTACAACACACTGGATATTTCCAGAAACAGTACACATTATTAATAATCAGTCTTTGTAAATTCTATAATTTATATAAATTTCATTTTATATTTTATATTACATATATACATTGCTGTTTAAATGTTTTAAGTTAATGTTTAATGTTTTAAAAAAAATTATGTTTTTGAAAGAAGTCTCTTATGCTCACTAAAGCTGCATTTATTTGAATGCAAATACAGTAATATTGTGAAATATTATTAAAAAAACAATTATTCAATAATTTAAAAAACTATTTTAATATATTTCAAAATTTAATTTCAGCAGTCATTGTTCCAGTCTTCAGTGTCACATGATCCTTGGAAATCATTCTAATATGCTGCTTTACTGCTTAAGAAACATTTATTATTAACAAGTTTGAAAGGTTGTGCTTCTTTGCTTCTTAATATTAAGTTCTTAACATGGTTTTAAAGATCAAAAGAACAGCATTTATTTGAAGTGGATTATTGTAACAATTTAATGTCACAATATGGCATATAATGTAATATAAATTGAATTTATGGGAATGAAGGACCAAACTCGGGTCGCCCAAAGTGCCGATAAATACATCCATCCTTGCTGAATAAAAGAATTATCTTATTATTTTAAAGATTTAAAGTACTTTTTGATGGTTTTGAACTGCAGTTCAATTGCTTCAGAACATGCATCAAATTGTTTTATATTTGTTTAATTGATGCACAATTAAATTCTAACCTCTCTCCCTAGCTGTCTCTATTATCATTTTACCAGGGGGCCAACAGTGCATTTCTCCTGACTGACACTGCTTGAGCTGTGTTGGTGTTGATTTTAGGCTTCCTTGACCTGCTTCAGGGCAGCAGCACACACACACACACACACGGCACACAAACTACAAGGCTCATTAACACCAAGAAGCAGACATATTTTGTTGTCTTGGTTGAGTGGATGATAGGGTAAGCAAGCAGATGTCTCTTGTCCTCCATCCCCACTGCATGTCTCTGTTGGAAACCCTTTGGAGACCTGTGGAGATCTGGGCACTGCTGCAGTGACACCATACTGACCTCCCCCTCAAACCTAATGAGGCTCACAAGCTGCATCTCAAAACAAACCCGTAACTCAATAACACCCGCCCTCTACATAGACATTCATGAACATAAATAGCTGAAGTCTAAACATTGTTTAAAGGTACAGTGTTTAATTTCTGATGTTCCGCCAAATGATAATGTAATTTTGTATATTTGATTAAATAAATTATGGGATTTACAATTCTGTGAAGTGACGTGACATGTGGCCAAGTATGGTGACCCATACTCAGAATTAGTGCTCTGCATTTATCCCATCCAAAGTGCACACACACAGCAGTGAACACACACACACACCGTGAACACACACCCGGAGCAGTGGGCAGCCATTTATGCTGCGGCACCCGGGGAGCAGTTGGGGGTTCGGTGCCTTGCTCAAGGGCACCTCAGTCGTGGTATTGAAGGTGG